GCAAGAGAGTGTATCTCATTAATCTTGGGGGTAATTTAGCTTTTGACTTAAGAAAACAAAGAGCGCAGTTGTCAGTGTAAATTTCGAAGTAAATTCCTTCAAGATATTGTCGAAATTTTTCAACAGCAAAGATTATAGCCAAACATTCTCGATCGGCGATTCCATAATTTTTTCCGCTCCTCTAAGGAGTCTACTAGCATAAGCGACTGGTCTGAAAGTCTGGTTTCTCCAGACTTTTGAAGTAGAATCGCTCCTAATCCAACGTCAGAAGCATCTGTACGGAGTTGAGTAGGTTGTGTTGGATCAAAATGTAATAAAATTTGATCAGACATCAATAAACCTTTTAATAACTGAAAAGATTTTTCTTGTTCTTCTGTCCAAAGAAATCGGACATTATTCCTCGTTAATCTTGTTAGAGGTTCAGCAATTTTAGAAAAATCTTGGACATGTCTACGATAGTAAGAGCAAAGTCCAACAAATGATCTTATTTCGGTTATTGTTTTTGGTTGAGGAGCAAGTTTAATAGCCGACACTTTATCTGGATCAGGCCGTTGACCATTTTCGTCAACGATGAAGCCCAGATACAATATTTTGGTTTGGAAAAAATGGCATTTACTTGGTTTTAGTTTTAAGTTGTTTCGAATAATCTAGTAAAAACCTGTTGTAGATCATCGAAGTGTTCCTCGATTGTTTTCGAAAATACGACAATATCATCCAAGTAAACAAGAACTTTAGAATATCTCATCCCAGAGAATACTGTATTCATTGTTCGACAAAAGGTTGCAGGTGCGTTTACAAGTCCAAATGGCATTCGAACAAATTCCCATATTCCCTCTGTTGTGATAAATGCTGTTTTTGCAATATCTTCTTGAGCGACTTTAATTTGATAATAACCAGAACGTAGATCCAATGAACTAAATATTTTCGCTCCTGCCAAAGAATCTAAAGACAATGATATATCTTGGATTGGGTATACATCCCGTTTTGTTATAGCATTGAGTTTGCGGTAATCAACACAGAATCTTAATTCCCCAGTTTTTTTTGGTACAATTACTACAGGTGATGCCCAAGGAGAGAAAGATGGTCGGATGAACCCACATTCGAGTAAATTGTTTATAATTTCTTGCGACTTCTCTCTCAATGCAATGGACTGACGGTAAGGATTTGCGTGTATCGGTGGCTCATCACCAGTGTCAATTTTATGTTCGTACAGTTCAGTTGTTGATAATTCATGGTCGGAAACAGCAAAAACATTTCTATGTTTATTTACCAAATTCTGAAATCGATCTTGATCTTCTTTCTTCAATTTTCCAACGTTGAGTTCGAGAATCGAAATTGGTTCAAGTGATTTTTCAAAATTTAAGTTCATTATTAAAAGTTGTTCTCCAGTTTCGGTTAAAATTTTAGTATCAGATTCATAATCGTTTGGGATTGAAGCAATAAAAATTTTCTTTTCTTTTACATTAATTATCAAGTCAGCAAGTTCTGATATGTCTTGACCAATCAATAGGTCAACATCAGCTGGTAATTCACTGATCACCATCACATTGGATTTAATGTTTACATTACTCACGCCATCGGCTACATTAATGTCTACTTTAGCCTGTCCCACAGGTTTGATTGGCTTATTATCCGCAGCGGTCGTGGGTGGACCAGTGTATCTTTTTATCTCAACGTCAAGCTTGGATATCGCTTTCAAAGTCATGACTGATAGCTCGGCCCCAGTGTCAACCATTGCTTTCATTTTTTGACCATTAACCAATACTTCAATTATTATCAGTCGATTTTTTTCTGCCTCTAGGTTGGTAACCACGATATTTATTGTTCTAGAAGCACTAGTAATTTGAGGGGTCCAATCGTCCGTTTCAGGTTCCATATTATACGGCTCTTCAACTTCGTGTTGGTTTTCTTGCGTTATTACAAAGTTTCGTTTATTTTGGTTATCTCTATTTTGATTATATTTTTGTATTAATTTTTGACAATTTGATTTGTAATGTCCTGGTTCCTTACAATAGTAACAATAGATCTCATTTGGATCGAAAGGTTGAGACGTCGACGGTTGATTTTGATCATAGGAAGCAAAATTATAACCTTGTTGATAGTTTGGAATTTGTTGGTTATTAAAATCTTGTTGTTGATATTGTGCTTGATTATTTTGAGGGCGCGATTTGTTTCTATAACCTTGCGGATTTCGCTGAGGTCTAAATGTATTATGAAAACCTTGTGGGTTTTGTTGTTGTTGGAATTGATTGTTAAAAGCTTGAAAACCTTGTGTGTTCTGCTGATGTTGGAATTGATTATTCTGTCCTTGATTATTTAAATTTGTATTATTCTTTTGAAATTGTATCGGTTGACTCTGATCATTGTAGTTCGTATAATTCTGTTGGAAGCTATTACGTGGTTGAAATTGATTGTTGAAACCGTGTAAATTTTGTTGCTGAAATTGATTATGGAAAGCTTGAAAACTTTGTGGATTTTGTTGTTGAAATTGGTTGTTAAAATTGTAACCAGGGTATCTTCTTCTATTGTAGAAATAGGTGTTCGAATTTGGATTCGATGTTACCAATTTCTCATCAAAACTTCCTTGTCTCGGTCTCATATTCCGATGTTGGTCGAATTTGTTCTTTTGATAATAAAACTCAGCCTCTTCGGCCAGATTTTTCATTTCATCCAAAGAATTAACTTTGGTCAACGCAATATAATTCAGTATTCCGGGTAACAATCCATTTTTAATATATTGAATTTTTTCTTCCAATTCCATATTAGCATCAAGTTTTGCACACAAGCCTATCATCTCAAATATGTATGATCGAACATCTTGACTTTCAGATTGTTTTTTGTTTTCGATTCTCATTCTTAGTGTATTTCTTCGGAACGAGGTCTTTTTAAAAGCTAAGATTAACTTTGCTTTTAGGTCATCGTAAGTTGTTGGTCTTTGACCAATCGGTTTAGAACGTATACTCCCGGTATACCAATCTTTCGCTGGTCCTTTTAAATATAAAGGTAATCGTCGGAAACGGTCAATATCGTCTAATCCAGCAGCTTCGGTGATTTGTTCGAATTCTTCAATCCATTCACCGACTTCGCTATTAACTCCGTTAAAGTCTTTAATATTATTAAGAAGGGTATCTGAATATCTGGACGATATGATTATAGCAAAAAAGATGGTTTGATAAGTACCCAGATGACTTTATAGCATTCACGATCGACTTTTCTCGATCAGTAACAATGGGAATATGTTTCGTGATTTTTAACTTCTTGTTGACGAAGTTGTTCCAAAAAAAATTGTGGACTCCTTCATGCTTCTTGTCGTGAATCATAGCCACAAGGGGAAAATTTGGATCACCAACAAGCTCAGTATTTCTCGCACATAAAATTGATACGTAATAATTACCAAGATTGAATGTTGTGTCATAACTTAAAATTTGTTTTTCTCTTTCGCCTTGAGAGAATATACGATTTGTCAACTCAACGGCAGTTCTGCTTCCAAGTATAATGACAAGATCAGGAAGAACTTGATAAAAGTGTACTTCATTTTCTAGTTCCGATTTACCAAGAATGTAGCCTCCATAAAACTCATCGAGGCTCAACACCGTTCCTATTATCAAACTTTTTCGATCCAGCACTGTTCTTGCTCTTAACCAAATCAATTGTATCCTTAGCAATGCGAATGAAAGGCCTCTCTTTCTTTGCATTTCCATGTGGTCGTTTGATTGCTAATGTTTTATCACCTTCATAGACCACAACTACATTTTCAATACTTGGTCAAAAAAATAATTACAAAATTTAGATGAGAATAGACGATAAAAGAGTATTAGGGCGCAACTTTCGTTGACTGGTGTTGACTGGGATTAAAAAAAGAAAACAAGAAACTTACCGTCCATCGTATAAATTAGCCTCTTAAACTTTGTTGATGTAACATTTTTCCCGGCTTCTTTTCCAATCAAAACATAGCTGAAGCTTTTTTTAATATCCTCCTTCAGTTTCCTTGTAGGTCCAATGAACCACACCCAAGGGTCGATCCGATAATCGTTTCCTCTTTTCTTTAGAAGATAAGGCACATTAACTTCTGGATCACACAGTACCATGGTATTAACAAGATTTCCATTCTGTAATAGTTCTAGAACTTCCATGTGTGTATCCTCAAAATCATCTGAAATTTTGTAATAAAAAAACATTTGTAAATTCAAATTATCTATCAATGGTAAATTAATTCTTACCTCTAGCTTGAGAATCAACACTAATCTTATTGCTGATTTGTTAAATTTTAATGTAGAATCACAATTATAAAATACTTTAAAATCTAAATCCAAAAGCTAAATAAGCATTAAAAAAACTTTTTGAATGAAAACATTGCAATCAGCTGTTTTCATTTTCGTCAGCTTTTGATTTTCGTGGTATTTGTGCGGTATTTGTGTATTTGTCGGTTATTTGTCTATTTGCTTAGTATTTGTTTTTTACCCTGGACCGCATCGCTACCACCTCAATCTATCATATGATCCACAATAGACATAAATACAGGGTGACTACTGTACACCAAGAGCAAGATCTTGATTCTTGATTCTATCCTCTTTCAAAAGCAAATTACGTTTTTTACCTCAAATTAAAACCTAAACTACTTCAATCAAATCATAACGAATCGAAATTTAGACAATAAAATACAATTAATGAATTGATTCATTAGATAAAATCCAACTAATTATTGTGTTAAAGCCAACACAATAAGGTTTTAAATGATTTTTTCAATGTGAATTAGAAAATGAAGAAATGAAGAGTAATAGATGCTCTTTGATGGATAATATTCTAAGGACTGTTCGAATATGTTTGTGTGAATGAGAACACTAGATTGTTCGCTTTAATTTTTAGTTCGTTTGATGAAACTCAGCAATTGTCAAATATGATATTTTGCATTTATTATTAATTATTAACGGTTTTCTTAAAACATAGACAAGAAAAGTTTCATTTATAAAGCCAAGGCGGACGCTGATACACCTACAGACATGACTGGGGTTTTAATACTCATGATTTCAGAATCTGATTGACCTTTTGGATTTGAGTTTTGCTTGGAAACTGAATTGGCGTTTGCCATAGAAGTTGCAGAAGAAGAGCTCGAAGATGGATTAGGTCCAGTTGGTATTGGTTTACCTTTACCTTGTTTTGGTGATCCTGATGGAGATGATCCTGAACCTGTGGCATATCCTTTTCCGTTATTGTTTGTGGTGGACTTTGAAGATGAAAATGATTTAGTTACACTATTTGAGGGTCCTTTTGAATTCTCATTACGATTAATTGTTTTGATTTTTATTATTAGAAAATGGTTACACGTGCAGTGTTGGTACCCAATTTGCTGAGGATCATTTTTACGAATTCAAGGAAAGTTTCAAAAATGTTCTTACTAAACAAATATCCCCGCTGCGAATAGGATCAATCTATCTTGATTTCCATATCGATAGGATCTCAGCTAGAGTTGAATTTTTCGAAAGGCCACCTCTTGAGAGTAAGATGAACCCAAGAAACTTTAGGCTGAATTCATATATTATTCATTGAGAGTATAAGAATTAATAGTTTCCATTTTCAGAATCTTTTCAGATACGAGATGCTAAAGTCAAAGTGGACAATCCAAAGTTGACCTCTGGGGGTATTATTGCTAAAAGTATCGATGAATGTTTGAAAACCCAATTGAAAGAAAATTATTTCAAGTAAGTGAATTGATACTTAATTGAAATGTGACAACTGAAATTTATTTTACTTCTTCCATTACCAGAGAGATCCTTTACTGTCCCTCATTGAATGGACTTTGTTTGAACATTGAAGATCCGAACAGTTTGGAGGAAACTGTTGATTCGAATATTGATTGTAAACTTTACTATTTTCCTCTAATGAATCAGTATCGGTTAACAAAAGAAATTGAACTTGCTGATATTCATAAATCTTCACTTCGACTTGATAACATGCCGATCTCCTTGAAATGTGATAACTGTACAACTGCAAGTAAATCTCATCGATATCGAATAACCAATGTTCTTGACTATACTTTTTTCGATCAGATTTCTCATAAACAATCAAGTTTCATGGAAATTCAAAAATCATCAAAACTCATCTCAACAGACAAATCTGTTCACCCAGTAAGTGGCGCTATTCATAGTATCGGTGACTGTTATCGTACTTGTGTCACTCCAAATAATTTTGACTGTGTTGCATTTTCTTATTGCTCCAATGGAAATTCTCATGAATGTCTCATTTCCAGTGCTCTATTTATACCAAATGCTACCGTGTATGCAAACAACTGTTCAACCTATTCAAGAAATTTCCTACTCGAATATCAGAAAAATCCAAACCAACAATTTTACGATATCTCAGATGATGATAGTGTTTATTCATGGACAGTTGAAGATTGTGCCGCTCAATGTTCACAATCCCCTAAATGTTTCTCATTTCAATATTGTTCCAATAATAATCAATGTACTTTTACAAAGACTTCATACCCAGTTAAAAAGGTGCGACATGACATTTTTTGCAATGTTTATACTCGTAAGTTAAAGTGTTCTAAAAGTTATGTAAATTTTATTGATAATCACAACTTTTTTATTACAGCAAAAAAATCACAAGAGTTTGTAAGCACTGGTACTACCCTGGTTTCGGAATTCATTCTGAGTGAGAGTAAATTGAACATGGAGCAATGTGCAGCTCTTTGTTATAACTGGAGAGCGGGAAACGAAAGCTGTAAATCTTTCAACTTTTGTCCTAAAGGTCGACTTGAAACTACTTGTCAGTTGACCCAATACATGGTTGGAAACCCAAATGTTGCAACTTCCCCCTCGCAAAATTGTTACAATTTTCAACTACTAAAGAAACTTCAACAACGTGAGTCCAATCATGAAGCATTTGCACCGAATGATGATATGGCTAATGAAGGGATTTTTCTCAAGGAAAAAAGTAAAGTTAAGACACAAGTCACTATTACTTTGATAATATCACCTTAAGGTTTTTTATCCAGCAATTAAAACAGAGTCACAATTGTTGAAAGTATCAATTTACTTTTAATTCTGGCCTCTCTTTAGAGATGATAAACAATATCAATAGAGACAAAAACCAGATAAGAATAACTTAATGGTAATTTTAAGTTAGATAGTAACAACGGTTACACTGACCTTTCACAAGATGCTTACCTGCCCTTCACACTTACAAGTAATAACAGTTCGTATACAGAATTCACTTCAATTATCTTAAGATGTAAACTCGGTTAAATAAGACTTTATTAAAATAGAAAGAAAATGAAAATATCAATGATTAGAATGAAATTCTAATAAGAATACAGAATAAAATTCACTTAAGTGAGAAAACGAATCTAGATTGAAAGTGTTAACTAGACTGAAGATACATTTGTTGATTAGATTTGTATTTATACTTAATCCATTCAATTGAATATTTTTTATCCGTTGGTAAATCTTGTTAATTGATAACAGACAATTAAGTCAGAGATCAAAGATGAGTTAACTTAAGTTTTTAACATAATCATTGTTGACTAATTGTTGTTAAAACAAAATTTTACTGTGGGAAAAATGGTAATGTAATCAGAGTTAACAAAAGTTAAAGAAGATAAGAAGAAAGAGAAAATATTTGTAGAAAGAGAAAAGTAAGTAAAGAAAGAGAAAAGCAAATTGACGCCAATGATTAAAACCAGAAGGTTATTTTCATAAGAATTGACAAGACTATTGTCTCTCCATCATTAACTGTTAATTTGTTTTTCTAAAGAAAATGATTAGTTAAGTTTAATTGTTAATTAAAGTTGTAATGTTTGTTAATTGTAATTAGTTAATTGTTGATTAAATGAAAATGATTAATTAACTAAAGTTAAATTTAAATGAATAAAATTAATAAGTGAAGTGAAGGGTTAAATCTCTACCCTACAGATTCAGTGGATTTTGATTAAGACACCTTTCAGTTCATCTTATTAATATTTAGTGTTGAAATTTGAAGATTCCGTGGGTGAAGGTATCGCCGAGAATTTATTTGATGAATCGGTTCATCTTCTTCTGGTAATACATGAATTTCAAAATTTCCTGGTGGTGGTGTTAATGGAGATGATGGTGTTGGTGAAGCACAAGTATCACTATTAAAACTTGGACAATTCCTTGAGGTTGAAGTGTAATAATGCCAATTTTCAGGCCATTCGTCAGTTCCAGCGTTTACACGAGTAGAATAAATATCAAGTAACTGAGCAATTCGTTTATTACCACAGGTACGTTCGATATTTTTACTATGTATTCCATCTTTCAGTTCCGAACATTTATTTTCAATCTCAGGCCAAAAGGCTAAATATAGTTGAAGAGAAACTAAAGCTTCCACGACAGGTGAATGAGCCTTTTTCTCAATAGTGAACTTTCGAAACACAAGAAATGATATAAGCGAAAGAGAACATGGACTTTTCAAGTATGGAGAAAAATGTTGAGTGATTTCTCTCATTTTATACCTTAGGCGATCGATTTCATTCTTAGTTAAACCAAGAGCATTTAGTTGAGCAATAAGACCAGAACCAATCAGTTGATTACACACAACCAAATAGGGAATCACTTGATCTCTTACTGAATCTAGATTTTTAGCATATCGAAGATCAGATCGACACAATCCATGATGTTCACTCTGAATAATTTCAATTTGTTGATAACGAACAAAACTTTCATATACAATTTCTTGGTGTCCATTAACAATAACTATCCAAATCGGCTTTTGTTCAATTTTCTCAATTATACCTTGAGGTCGTTCATATTGAGTAAATACACCACAATAAGCCATATTCATAGAGAATATTAACTTTGGATTTGAATGTTTATCGGTATTGTCTTTGATTAATTGTTGATAACTTTCAGGAAGTGTTGGAAGTTGAACACGAGAACACTGATGAAATAATTCAGTCGTTTGTGATAGTTTAAGTTCATGATAATGACCATATGGTCGAGATGAATTAGATGAGGTTGATGATGATGATGATGATGATGAATCTCTTCTTTGTCGATAACTTGAGTTAATTTTTTGTCTATCAATATCTCTTATTGACGGAAAGTCAAGTTTAATCGATTTAAGAATTGATTCAACTTTCTCTGGATGAATGAGTGAGAAAACATTAATTCTGATGAATGGCTGATTTTGTTCATGATATGGTCGTTTGATTTCTTGCCATTCTCTCTTTTGTTTTTCTTCTCTTTTTTGTTTCTCATTTAACAAGAACCATTCAGCATTTTCTCTTAAGAGATAATCGGGAATTTGAGACCAATGAATTGATCTGGGTCTGATATAATGATCAGAATTTGGTTTGTGTCCCATGAATGGTTCGAATCCCATATTTTGCATTAATTGTTCATGTTCACTCACTGGTTCGGCTGGATCTTTTAATCGTCGCCAACAATTCCAATAGTTTATTCTTGCTCCAGGAATATGATTTCTTATATAATCAGGAGCTAAAAAAGGGTCATTTGGATTAGCGTCTCTTTCAATCAAAGTACAAGCGTATTCAGCATGTTTTTTATTCCATCTCTCTGAATGAGTTGAATTCGTTGGAGTAGATGAAGTTGATGCAATAGCTGCTTTGAGATGAGGAGCTAAATGAGAGAGAAAATTTTTATGAGGTTTAACAAAAGTTTTCAATGTTTCTCCATGTTTAAATTTTGATCCCATTTCGAAATCATAATCATCTTTTATAAGTCCAGATCGACAGCATCTTTCATGATTGAAATAATCAACTGGTTTTATCTGTTGATTGCAGAAATGTCGTCGACATATAAATAAGGCTGATGAATATTTATCAAAAGTGGTTGATTTTTGGACTTTTTTGAACAATGGATAATCGTTAGTGGAAGTAAATTTAACGATACATTGAGTTTCTAAACACATTGCTTTCTCCTTGTTGTTTGGTGGGACGAAATTCAGTTTGACGATTACTTTTCTTAACCAACAGGTACATGATAAACAATACCACTTGTTACAGTTGGTACAATAAAGTGGACTTATTGTAATATGTTCACAGAGATTACATTTGATAGTGTCCAGAATATCATGAATGTTGATAAGAATAACTTTTGATAAAGGTAAACCTTTAGGTACATCGTCAATATCTAATGAATCAATTTCAGGAATATCGATTAGATTTAATTTTATCTTTTCCTTGATTAATTGAAAATATTTCTGACGAGTTTCTTTCAATTCACTTGCTTCTTTTTCAACTTGTTGCTTAATCTGAAAGAATCTCTCTGATGTTAAATAATCAGGAAGAGGAGCAGTAGGATTAGGAGCAGGATAAGTATTTCGGGGCCAATAGAAATCATTTGGACCGGGATGAGTTTGAGAATCTTGAAACTCTTTGGATGATTGTTGATGATATTGTCTCTTAAAGGGTGGATATTCCTCTTCATGAAAATTCACATTTCGAGGAAATCGTCTTTTAGATGAGCATTTAAATTGATTCATCTCTTTAGAGGACATTTGAATTTCAATTTGTAACTGTTGATGTTGATTCTCAAAAGAGGAATTGAATGAATTATCATAAGAAACTGATTGTTTCGGTGGTGAAGAAAATGATTTCACTGGTGCTGATTTATAACGAGGACAAGTTATTCCAGTTGATGTTCCAGGTTGAGGAAATTCGAAGTCAATTGGAACAGGATTGATCGGATGTTGAGTTTGTTTCGTTTTCTTTTCTTTACCTTTAGGTTCAGTTTGTGTTGAAGTTGCTCTTCTTTTCAATTCTGCTTTTGTTTCCATTTTGTAAACTTCAGGAATTGGTGAAAACGGACGAGCGTTAATTGGCCTTGCACCTTCAGGTGGAACTGTAGGTTCACTATAACCAGAAGTAAAGTAATGGTGAGAAAGATCTTGAGGTGCAATGTTTCTCCACTTATTAGGTTTGAAATTTGGAATCGGTTGTTGGACTAAATCTTCATCCACATAGATTTCAACTTCGTCAGATGATGAAGAATTGATTGTTATATCATGTTCATCAGTATCTAATTTCACTTGAGTGAGACCTTTGGTCAAAGATGATGTTGATGAGCTGGATGAGATTGATGAAGTTGGTGAAGCGATTTTAAATTCAGTAATACTAACAGTTTCAGTGGATTTTGATGAATTACCCGAATTAGAATTCAGATTATAATCAAGAGGAGCAATTGAAGAAAACAAATTTTCAGGTAAATTGATTGATTTTTCACTTTGTCCACGTGTTGTTGGGTTTTCCTTTGTTGAATCATTACCATCATTAGATGATGAATTTGAAGGGAAAAACAATTCATAAAATTCACCATCGTCACCTTGTTTTTCAATTCTAGTTGTAAGTTTATCTCGATCAGACATTGTGACAATTATAAAAAATTTAACTTTCAGAACAATCTGAAGATAATTCACAGAACTGAAATAAAATGAATACCTTAAGAAACTCAAGTTGATGATTACAAAGTTATAATGTAAATGAATATAAAAGAATAGAAAATTAATTGGAACTTGTCTTAAGACAAACAATTTGATTAGCAATTGATCAACTGAAGAGAAAATTTTGTTACTCAAGTTTAACTTGTGAAAGTGTTTATCAGTTGATAATTGTGAACAAAAGAAAAGAAAATTTTTGTTTACTTTAAAGCAATTAGAAGGAGATGATTCAAAAGTAACATGAGTAAAAGTTTAGTCTAAATTTTTCTCATCTTTTTGGTGAGAAAACAAACAATCATAAGATAATGAAGAGACTAATTTATCATCCAAGTTATGAAAATCGAAACAATAACAAAAGTTGATCAAATCATAATTAACATTGGTAAGATCATTTTTCTTTGCTGTTAATTGAGAACGAGTTAATCGTTTAGATGCAAAGTCTAATGTTGGTTGTTGTCCAATTTGCTTATCGGCAGTAATATATTGTT